GCCGCCGTCGTCGCCATTGTCTTGGGCATGGTTGTCGTCGGTGTCGTCGTTGCCGGCGCCGCCAACGCCGCCGGCGCTGTCGTCATCGTTGTCGTCGTTGACATCATCGCGGCACGCGCCGCTTTCACCATGGTGGTCGTGACAGCCGTCGCCGCCACCGTTTCCGATGATGGCGTCGTCGTCGTTGCGTGGTCCTTCTCCTCATTTTCTGCCTCGTCCCCGCCCTCCTCGTTGCCTTCTCATTATCTTGCCCCTGCCTTTCCCCCCCGTCGCCGGACCCCACATAAGGTTCACAAAAAATCCACATAGGAAATCGGCGTCGTCCACGTCGCCGCCGCAGCGGTGGTGATCGTCGTCGCTGTCGTCGTCGTCGCATCGCCATCGTGGTCGCCGCCGCCGCCGCTGCCGTCGTCGCCGTCGTTGCGGTCGCCCCCGCACACGTAGTCCGCGCCACCGTCGCCGTCGACGCTGTCGCGTCGTCATCTTACTCGTCGCTGTCGCCGCGTTCGTCGTACCGTATTCGGCATCGCCTTCACCGTCGCCGCTGCCACGGGGCGCTTCGTCGTCGCCGCCGTCGTCAACGCCGACGCCGCCAAGGACTCTACCACGGGAGTTCTACAATGGCGCAGCGACAAAACCAGGGAATGCCCTTCAATGCTCTGCCTGCTCCTTGCGCGCGCTCGCCGCCCTCTTGGCGCCGCGGGAGCGCGTCGGCTGCCCCGCAGCGCGTGCGCTGGCTGCCCCCCAGCGGGAACATCATTTCGAATCCACTTGCCAACCACTCACCAGAACTGCTCGTCACAACCGTTCGTCAGGTCACAGGGGGGATGCGCAGATTCCTTCGACGCCTATAAACAAAAAGAAACACAAGGAAAACAACGAAGAGCTCTGAGTTACAAGGATGTCTCGGGCGAGTCGAAGATCACCATAGGTCAGGACATACATGGGCCCAGAGTTGCGACGATGTCTAAGGCGAAAAATGCCCCAAGCCAAGAGTTGCGAGGATGTCTCAGGCGAAACTGACAGGACCACCAGTTTCGTGGCATCTCGGGGCTCACAGATGCCGCAAGAAAGAGTGTCCGACCTCTGTCGCATGAGAGGTCCTCGCAATTCTGAGCTCCCAGATGCCGTGACCTGAG